TATGCGGGTTCCGCTAAGGAAATTTAGTTTACCAAATAAGCCTAGATAGGGTAGGAGCACTTGGGTGGTTGGGATGATTATCTCCTACAAAAAAAAAGAGAAAAAGGAAGAAAACTTGCCCACCGCGGCGCTCCTTCCCTACGAGAGCCCTTATTTAAAAACTGGCATGTCCGTGTTATAACACGGCATAACGCGTTTCATTGAGTTCATTTTTTGATATACCGACATTGTGTTAAGTGGCCCCCCCAACTACATTTTCCGTCCGTCTTTCGTGATAATAATGCAGACGAGTGCAATGCAAGGATATGCAGGAAGTAGGGAAGAAAATAAGAAACACCCAGGTGCACACCTTTACTGGTTGAGATGGAGCACCGATTCAGAAATAAAGGACGCTTGGGGAGTACGCGATTGTGGGTCTCCCTCGATTCTTCAATACACTAACCTGTGAAGAGAGTACGCCCTGTACGTCCTCGGAAAACGGATGATTCGAAATACAAAAGCAACTAGCCTCCCTGTTCAAGGTCAGATACGGCATTACCAAGACACCCATAGGGATCCTAACAGCCTAACAGAAACAGTAGCGCTCACCAAGGATCAGCTCTGGGCCCGTTGCTTTCCTAACTAACAATTTACATCATCAGAAATGATCAAATGGATGGATGGCTGGAGACCATTCTCTCCTCTGATAAAAGTGCTCGATAGCGGAGTATAGCACAGGGAAGAAACTGGGGAAAGGGTAGATCTATTAAACGAGTCTGTCTTATTGTCATTTTGACGATTGGCTCTTGTAATACAAAGTCGACAATTACATCTGTTTATTCAAATGACCAAATATATGACAAAGTAATCAAAGAGAACATAAGAATAAAGAAGTAGAGGGCGAAACGATTCCTCGTTTAAAGTGCTCAATATGAGGAATAACTAGCATGGAAGTGAGTACACAGATTAATGAGTGTGCTTCTCATCGATACATACCACAACATTGAAAGTCGTAAAAACAAGAGGAATAGTGGGATATTTCGTGAAAATGGTGGAGCCATTTGAGAAATAGCTAAACCCTGGCTAGTGGCAACCAGAGCAACTAGAGCGAAGTATAAGCAACATAAATATTCATAAAAATTCTGACATGTAACACACTGGAAACTAGCGCAGCAGCAGTACACGAGATAAGGCCTTAGCCAAGAGCAGTCCGTAATTTCAGTAAGAGCGTTGCCGGAGTCATTTCTGAAAACTTTACCGTTAGTATAAGATACATGTACTTTATAACGAGTAACATACCGTAAACGGAAAACAGGCCAAGGTTTAACGTCCTCGCGTGTATTCGTGGTAGCGATGATCGCCAACACGGCACAGAATCACCCAAAAGGCGTGTATAACGCCTGGTATCCACACCAGGAAGGTGAGGATAACATTAATCCAGAACTGTGTCGTACAGCCTTGGTCGAATAGCACGGCAATTGGCTGCAAAAGGACTGATATACGGAGATATCATCAAGTATGCTTTTCATACAAGGTTTATTCAGAATTTTCCCACTACGTCTTTGATTCTTCCCTATCTCGTGTTCATGGATGTAGGTACTTCGTCATCATGTGTGCGTGACATATGCATGTTGCGCTATCACCTGCACTTCGCTTCGCACCCTTCAAAATGCCCGCTTCACTTTCTAGACCCGACAATTGTTTGAGAAGTGAATCCTCTAAGATAAACTTGTGGTCAAGAGGTAGTATGTCGTTAAACGGGTTCAGTCAGTTGTCCAAAAGCCCCACCTTCACCCAAAGAGGCTTCTCCTGCTTTGATGGTGGTAAAAATGAGGCACAGAACACTGGAAGTTGCTAAGAAAAGGGATAGGCAATAGGCGTGCCAAATACATTGCACAGCTGCCGAAATTGTAAAAGCCAATGTCGACGGGACGCTTCGATCAAAAGTGGAAAACTGCCCACATCTGGTTAAAGCTAGAGCATCTGGTTAGACCTCACACTGCAAATAGACCCAAGTCGAGCTGGAGTAATGTGATTGGCCGGTAGCTCCCTAGGCCTCCTACATCCCTGACCTCTCGCTTCCTGACTATTAGCTATTCTTCACACCGCTTCTAAACGGAAAGGTTGAAGCAGAGGGTTAGGTCAGGTAATCACTTGAAGGCTCCATCAAGCCCCAGTCTTCGAGCCGATTCGCTTTTGGAATACTCATAAGAGAAAGTTGTGGCGATTAATCAACCTTATAAGAGAGAGGAAGGGAAAAGAGACAAGTCTGTTCGGGCTAGTGGTCAGTACTTTTGTTCTGTTGAAAAGCAACCCATCTCTCAATGGAATATGGGATATTTACTTTATGAATCGCAGAAAAATGGATTAATGATTATTATTGGCATTGTAAAATCCATATGATTTCTATCAAAATCGAAAAGTTACGGATAATCTGATCGTAGTTACGGATCAGTGAGCAGTAATGACTCTTAAAAACCAGTTGGCCCCGAGAGCCATTACTGCTTTAATGACTTTTGCGTGGTGATTGATTTTGAATCAGTGCCTTTGCTTCTCATCCAACAAATCCATCTTGTAGTAAATAATTTTTCTAATTGGTGAAAAACTCGGCAGGTGCCAGCCTGAGGAAATGACGGACGGCACCTTTTCACACCCCGCCCACGAAAATCGTCTACACTTCCGAATATGCAGAANAAAAACCAGTTGGCCCCGAGAGCCATTTCTGCTTTAATGACTTTTGCGTGGTGATTGATTTTCAATCAGTGCCTTTGCTTCTCATCCAACAAATCCATCTTGTAGTAAATAATCTTTTCTGATTGGTGAAAAACTCGCCAGGTGCCAGCCTGAGGAAATGACGGACGGCACCTTTTCACACCCCGTATACGAAAATCGTCTACACTTCCGAATATGCAGAACTAGTTTCATGAATCTTCTCGGGGGTGTTTCAGAGAAGTCAAATCAATACAGACCGAGTGAAGATCTCAGCTACTGCGAACAAAAATTTTTTTCAATACCAGACGCTCAAACATGATAGAAATATCATGAAATAGAGGCTTTAGATAAATTTGTTCCAAATTCATTTGATGTCTTTCCAATTACCAATTTGTAACTAAGTAACTAATTCACCGCTATTAGAACATTGTTCAAATAATTCATTCGAAGATGTTATCTTTATGTAAAGCTGCGTAAAAGGTATAATTTAGGTGTCACCTCAATGCATAGCATCCCTAACGCCTAAATGTTTCGCAAATACCCCACAAATAGTAATTGATCGAAACTGAAAATAATTTCGAAAATATGAGAAATGACAGAATCATTGAATACTAACCGGACAGATGATGGCGACGATGCAAAGGAGGATGACGCACATCTTGAAAGAAAAGTCGCTTTGTTAGCCCTCAATTTACTCTGGAAATGCCAAACAAAAATTATCCAGCACCTCCAAAATGAGAGTGAAAATGCCATCGGTTGCGTAAAAATGTAGAATTTCGAAACATTTTACTCGATATAGGCAAATAAAACAAAAAAAGGTACAAAAACTTAGAAAGAACTCGATACTCAACAACATCACACGTAGTTCTAGAAAGGTTCAAGAAAGCAAGTAATGGCGAGGGCTTGAAATGGAAATTCGCCGTGTTCAAGTTCTCATTATATGTCGGAGTGTTGTTCGATCACCGCTGAAGTCTAAAAGCCTTGTGGTGCCGATCAATGCCCTTTTTTATATGGACCCCGCACACGTCTTTCAATCAGAGCGTCTTGAACGAATATGTGGCCTATGCAGTGATTTACCATGTAAGTGCCAAGCCAGTGCTCTTTTTCCTCTCAAACGGTTCTGGTACCAATAAATCGACCCGGAAGCGACTGGATGCTTGATTGATTTCCGGTGGGAGGAGGACTAAATGGGTGACGAGTTGGTCCGATTCAGAGTTCGATCCCTGGGCCACGAGGTAGCGAGCCGATTGTCGCTGCACCACCCGCACCCTTGATCGCTAGTGCAAGTATTAAAGGTAATGAGGTGTTTTATTTGTATACTCTCCTGTTGGATGTAGAAATAACGAATTGCACGACAGAAGCTGAAGTGGGGAAATGTCGTTTTCGCACGAACTGTTCCTCTCTTTGATCATGAGACTGCAACGACGAAGCAACGGCTTCGTGGGAAAGGCCTCTGTGCATCTCAGCACCAGCCTCGTATTGAATCGATGCTGTTTTTCCTGCGGAAGAAAAAAAGCAAGAAAGTGAAAAATGGAATGGGACAAGGAGGACTAACCCTCCCAATGCCTGCAATCAAAAATAACTGCTTTGTAAAATAAATGTTTTTGATTGCCAAAAAACGAGCAAGTCGAAATTCCTACAACTCGACAAGCTGTGATTTCTTATTAGCATCACTTCCCTTTTGCAGATTTTTTCGCTATCTATTTAGTTGCCATTTTTGAACCATCGGGATTCGGTGCCCATTGATAAAATAAAGCATTGAAGCAAAAAAAAAATCTGGTATAACGTTGTAAGAAACAATCCATAAATAAAGTCTCCAAAACCCAGCAACAAAGTCGTTCTTCCTCCCAAATTTACAACTCAGAGGTAAAGACGGACTGTTTTCCACAACCCTACTTCGATGGGCAATTTTTCAGTGTTACCCTATATTGCTTTAATAATCCTCGAAATCCATCTCATTTCTTCGTCAGAGGAGAATAGCAGTACGAAAAAGTATTTTCAAGTTTTTTCAACTTGAAAATCGGTGGTGATGAACACCGGCAACGACAGAGGAGCAGGTGAAACAGTCAGCGAAGCTATGACAACCAGTTGTGAAATTCATTCAATTCCTACATACAGCTGATATGACTTCAGTAGCTTTTTAGCTCATCTTCAGGTGTTTCTGGTTCTGGTCAGTCTTCAACCCGTCCGGACCGTTATAACGTTCAACGGTCTTTGGGACAAAATTTGAGTTTTTGAATTAACTGGAAAAGACTTCCATAGAAATACAAAAGAGCAGATAGATAATACAGAACAATAAAGTAACTCAAAAAGTTGATTCAGAAAAGGGAAAGACGATTGTAAATCAAGGACTGAAGCATGCTTTTTGACGACGCTTCTTGAAGGACATATCGGCGAGCTGGTATAACATGGGGAGTTGTAAAACTGTCACGTGAAAAATGCATGGAATGAAGTGGTGATTATAAAGAGAAATTCAGCGGTCTTTGGAACAAAATTCGAATTTCTGAATTAACTGGGGAAGACTTCCATAGAAATACAAAAGATCATGTTATTACTTCTAGATTTCATACTTCAGAGATAATTCCTAAGATTTTACTAAAAATCAATTTTCTAAAATAAGGGGTAATTCTATGAATATCAAGAAGTTGTTAGTCAAAGTTCAAAATTAGAAAGGACAAAATCAATCAGAATTTACAGCATATGAAAGATCGATTTTTGTGTTAGTTTTTGGGAGAAAAAGAGCTGAGCTCATGTTTAATCAACACTGATGCAACTGTCAAGCTTAGCGTCTTTACAAAAACTAAATCGTTCGGCAGATGCGACAGTGCTGTATGCGACCAGCTGCTCAAGCTGATTCCCTTACTGTCTTGTTACAACGTCGAAATTTCAAAAAAAAATTCAAAACTTCAAACTTAATCTCCCCAGGTGCCCAATTAAGCGAAGTCGCTTGTCCGTGAAAGCTCTAAACTACTGAAAAGATGATAGGCAGTGATACAAAATGGTGGTGAACTACTCGGAAAGAAAATGACAACAGAGATAGGGCAATCAATGAGAAGTTGATAAAGCTGATAAGAAGAGGAAAGATGCCACTGATGGCTATGGTGCTCGAGCTTCTTTCTACGGTCTAAAGTGCACTTGGTCAATACAGGTATTGCCGAATAGTTGATAATGACACTGCAGTGCTCTCTACTCGTAACCCTTGTACCTTTTTATTCCCATTCTGCTACCTGATAAGACCGTGAACAAGGCTTTTTCTGAGATATTCTTCATATTTAGGATCACACCACTGCGAATGGGAAAAAAAGAAAGATTTTTGCTCGGGAAAAATTCTTCCGATATGTGAATGCAGAAAAAAGATGATTAGGTGGCGATGATGAGGAAAATAACTGCTGACAACCGGACTACTTGAGCTGCGATTTTTCAACTGACGGTATAAGCATTTTTCCAGTAAACTTGGCTCATGTTCATCTACCAATTTTACCAATTTACCAACAAAGATGAGTTGCATTACAAAAAAATTAATTCCGATTTTATCTTCATCGAGTATGCCAATCACCAACTAGGAATGTGACTCACAGGCGTAAAGGCTAGATTTGGCAACCTCACACTTATCAAAACCAAATTTTTAGTGGCCAAAATCTGGAAGTAATACCGTGAATCGATGACGATGGTGAACGTTACGCGTTGGATTACGTATGAGCGACCAAATAGCCCATCCAAACAGAAATAAAATCGACATGTCATGGGAGAACGGCACGGAAGAATGGCATTCGATTGAACTCAACGAAAGTAGAATGTTGGAAAACGCCTAAAAGCTTGAAGCCGTTTGAAGGGATCTCATTACTGCTTGGTCAATTAGTATAACTACTTGCCAGAGTGAGAGGCGAAGAGACGGAAAGAGGGGAATTCCCTGTCATGGCAACCACTCATTGATCACAAACCACCTGTTTCCCAAGTATTTATTAAAGCAAAGTACGTTCTCAAAAAATACCTTTAAAAAGAGGGTTATCTGAGGTGTCTCAGTGAAAAGGTATTGTCAACAGGAGCATTTCGACTTTTGGGCGGAATTTAAAAGTTTGCCTGCTACCAGCCTAAAAACAATTTCTGAGCCTTCAATTATTCATTTAC